GCCTGTAATCCCAGCACTCAGGAGGCTGAGGCAGGAGGATTGCTGAGTAGCTACAAAGAAGACAAAAAACAAAACAAAACAAAACAAAACCCAAAAAAGAATAGGCTGAATTACATAGTGAAGTAGTCATTCTCTATCTCTCTGTCTCTTTCATATGTCATATATATATAAATTCTGTAATAAAGCTGTAATGGATTACTTGTCTCAGACAAAAGATCAAGACATAATTCATTTATGATGAAAATGAATACAACAAGCTCCGACTAAACCTGAAATTATGATGTTCTGCTATGGTGCATCCACCCATAAACACAGACACACACAGTCAGATGAAGTTTTGTACGTCTATCACAACATACGTGTCCTCCTCGTCCAGCCGAGGTTCAAGTCTCTCAGGATCCAAAACGATAGAATCCTGATCTCCGTCGACACGGTCTGATGCTTCTGTTTCTTCGGACAAAGGGCCTTTTAAGAATCCTCCTGAGCCTCCAGCAGGACAGTAACAGAAAATATTATTTATTTAGGTGCGGGGAGCTGAACCCAGTGCCTCACTGATGCTAGACAAGCACTCTGCCCCTGAACTACATCTCCCACTCCTTTTTACTTATTTTTTAAATTTTGGGATAGGGTCTTGCTAAGTCACTAAGTTGCCCAGACTGTGTCTGAACTTGCAGTTCTCCTGCCTCACTGTTGTGATTACAGGTGTGCACCACTGTGCCTGGCTCTACTTATTTATTTTTGAGAATGTCTCTGTGTTGCCCAGGCTGGTCTCCAACTCCTAGGTTCAAGCAATCCCCCTCACAGCTCACCCTCCAGAGTGCTAGGACTCCAGGTTTCTGCCATAGCACCCAGCTAAATATGCCAGTGAAAACAGAATTAATCCAGCATTAACCCCGAAAACAGGCCCAGGAAGCATCAGCAAGTGGATTAAATTTTAAAAAATACTTCCTCCAAGAGAAAAAATACTCAGAAAATTACACTAAAAATTTTCAAGTACAAGAACTTATATTAAAGCACCAGGCATTATGGCCCATGCCTGTAACCCAGCACACTGGAGGCTGAGGCAGGAGGACTGCCAGGAGCTCAAGGCCACCCTGGGATACATAATGACTTAAAGGCCAGTCTGAACCACACAGCAAGACCCTGTCTCAAAACGAAAAACAACAACAATAAAAAAGAACCTCTATTAAAGCATTAAAAGTTATCTCTGATAGTTGGGTTATAGTTAATATTTCTCCTTTGAGCTTTCCTGTCTTTAGTTTTTATAAAAGAGAGGAAGAAAAGGAATTAAAGGAAGATCACATGTATGGATTTTATTTTTATTTATTTTTACAGTGCTAGAGATTTAAGCTAGAGCCACGAGCATGCTGGGCAAGTGCTCTACCACTGAGCCAAACCCCATTTTTTTTTTTAACAACTTTCTAGATAGTAATCACATTTAGAAGTTTTGCTTGTAGGGGCTGAGGATCTGGCTCAGCGGTAGAGCTCTTTCCTTGCATGCACAAGGGTTTGATCTTGTGGGTTTGATCTCCAGCACCACATACACAATTTTACTTGTAAAATAAACATGGACCTGGGTTGTGGTGGCATATATCTATAATTTCAAACTCAGGGAGTCGGGTGTGGTGGCACACACCTGCAATTCCAGCACTTGGGAGGCTAAGGCAGGAGGATTGTTGCGAGTTCGAGGCCAGCCTGGGCTACCAAGTGAGTTCAAGGTAAGCCTGAACTGCATAGCAAGACCCTGTCTCAAAAAGACCAAAAAAAAAAAAAAAATTAAAAAAAAAACCTCACAAAAATGAGAGCTAAATGTTTATAGAAATCATTTCATAATAGAGAAATGATATATTTTTTAGACAGTGAATTTCCTAAAATACCAAAGACTTAATTTTACAAACCAGGCAAGGCAGTGCATGCCTGTAGTTCCAGCACTGAGGAGGCTGAGGCAGGAGGATAGAGTTTGAGGCCTGCCTGTACTACACAGTGCATTACAGGCCTGCCTGGACTTCACTGTGAGAACCTATCTCTTCACCACCACCACAACAAACAATTTACAGCCAAAAAACAGAAAAACTCAAAAGATTCTACAGCCATTAGCTTTACGTAGTATCTTTCTTCTAGCCATCCACCTCTCCTGAAGGTCCCCAGAAAATTCTGTGCACAGCTCTGCTAGAGGGCACAGACCAAAGGCACCAAGATTGTGTGTTGATCTCCCAGATAATGAACTTCATTCTTCAGAGAAGGAAGGATGTTCTAGTCCTTCTTCATAGTGGGGATTCAAACAGGGCCTTTGCACTAAGCTACACCACAAGCTTTTCTATTTGCTATTTTGAGACTAAGTAAATCACTGAGTAACCTAGGCTGGGCTCAAACTTGTGATCCTCCTGCCCCAGCCTCCCAAAATGCTGGGATTGCAGGCATGAGGCACTGTGTCTGGTTTTTCTTTTCTTTTATTAAAGGCCCAGGGCCTTTGACATGCTAGGGAAATGTTCTACCACTGAACCAGATTTGTAGCCTTCTTGTTTGATCTCAAACTATGTACACAAATACAATTAAATGTATTACAATAAATATAGTTAAGATTTGTCATACCAACATGAGCCCTATTTGATGTAATTAGTCTTAGATTCAACCTAGCAAAATGGCTTAGTAATGGAATTTTCAAAATTACATACACATATAGGCGTATACCACCACACCTGGCTAACACGTACATTTCTTTTTCTGTTTTTTGAAATAAAGTTTCGCTCTGTAGCCCAGACTGGCCTCAAATTCAGTGATCCTCCTGCCTCAGCCTCCCCAGTGCTGCGATGACAGGCATGTGCCACCACACCCCGCTGCCCACATGCATGTTCTTAAATGTAACCCTTGGACCCAGATTCCTAAGAAGAGTATTACAAAAGGTTATTTTGTGCGGTGTTATTTTGTGAGTGGTTGCACCACCCTCGGTGTACAGGTGGGCTGGAGTCCATTTATGTTGGCAGTGCTGTGACTAGACACATTCTCCACCTCCACCAGTCCTGCCACCCAGTTTTTCCCCTCTTCTCCTGAAACCATGGAGATGGGTTCTCCCGAGGCCCAGTCCGAAGCCTTCTAAGGTAGGGCTCCAGCACCTCTGTTATTTTCCATGGCTCCGGGCAGAGTAAGAGCCACCGCACCCCGGCACCAGGGGAGGATGCAGCCGGCTTGGACAGACCCCAGGGAGACCCTTCGGGAGAGCCTGTATGCCCCATCTGCCAGCATTTGTTCTGCTGAGGGTGTATTACCTGGCTGCCAAGCAAGGAAGATGCACAGGACCAAGACTAGAAGGAAGATGAATGGGAAGAGGAAGAGGAGAACTTGGAGGGAATGGAGGACACCACCCTGGTGGATGGGACAACTCCATTCAAGAGGTTTTGTGTTTGTGGAACCCTGACAAGGTCCTGCTCCAGAACCAAGAGGATCATGAACCCTGGGTTGGTAAGGATATAGAGGACTGGGACAATGTAGATTATGGATGGGTCCATGAGGAAGATCAGAACTCTTACCTAGAAGATATATATGATTTAGAATTTTCTAAAGAAAACTCACACTAGTTAATATTACAAGGAATTATTTTGAAATCATGGTCAACATTAACCATGGCATGGCTGCAGCTGCAGTAAATTTGCTCTTGCCAGCAAGTGATTCACACAAGATTTTTTTTATCTACTTTGTGATCTAGCTTTTTTAGTTTTAGGGGCACTGAGGAAGGAAGCTGTTCCTCGTAGACCTAAGGAACAGGTCCATGATTTTCAAGAATATAAGAGAGGCATTTTTTTTCATACCCTCACAAGTGAAATCAATCGTGTATGCAGATGGTGCAATTTATAAAATCATATTTACTATTGTAATGTTTAAAAGAAAAAAAGCTTAACTTTCACAATACAGGAAATAAAGTTGGAAAGAATTTGAAAAAAAGAGATCCTAGAGTTGTCACTAAAGCAATGATTTACATGACAAAAAGGCTATTCTTAGGTTGGGGATGTAGTGCATTGGTAGAGCACTTGCCTAGCATGCACAAGGCCCTAGGTTCAATCCCCAGCAGCCCCTACTGTTGGGGGCTTTTAGCCAGATTTATGCTGAGAATCAAGAGCAAAGACCCCAGCAGAGTGATTTAAAATGTTTTGAGTTTAGCAAGAAAACATACTCCAATAAAGTTGTGGCCTGCCAAGATGGAACAGAGGAGAAATTGGTCTCTGAAAAGACTCCCAAGAAAAAGCCAAGTCTTTCAGAAGAGGACAACAGAAAAGATGGCCTGAGGGCCTCACAAGAACCAGAAGGACTCTACCCTTTGCAGCCTCAAAATTGCAAAAGCGAAAGACTTTGCTTTGAGAAGAGAGTGCCAGAGCACCATGTTCCAGAATGGCAGTGGCCTAGGGAAGTTGTTCCTCAGGATTTGGTTCAGAGGCACTCAACCCCAACAGCCAAAAGAAGAGGAACCCTGGCTACTGCTCCAGCTGTTGCAGACCTCAGTATCAATAACATGGTACTGATTTTAGGTGTAAGCAGAATGCAAGAGCTGTAGGGTCAGGAAGGCTTCCACTCAGATTTCAGAAGAAGGCCTGGGAGGCCAGGTGGTGTACCCCTGAGAGGGCAGTGTGTAAAGCTGTGAGTATGAAGCCAAAGTTGCAGTGGAGACCCCAGAAGTTGGGAGAAGCCACGAATATGGATCATCTGAGGAAAACTGCAAGCAGGGAGCAGAGTTGGCCTCAGAGGTAAGCCATGGGAGCTATAACCACTGGCAGTGCCACAGGGGTAAAGCCACCCAAGCCCTTTGGAGTTCACATCTTACTACAGATTGGCTCAGACGCTGGACATGGAACTATGGGATTTAACCTCTGCTCTGCTGGATTTTGGTCTTCCTTTGTTCCCATTGCTTTCTGTGCCCCTCTTTGTAACTTTTAGAATGGAAATGTCTATCTTGTGCCACTGAATATTGGAAGTGTTTAACCTTCTTTTCATTTGTACAGGGGCTTGCAGCTAAGATTCTGCCTTACAACTCAGAGGAGAGGTTGAATTTGGACTTTTCAGAAATGCTGATACTGTTACAACATGGCAACGCTTAGAGATGGACTAAATGCCTTTTGAATAAAGGGATGTATGTGAGTCTTTGGGGGTAAAGGGCAGAATGTTATGCTTTGTATCTAGATGTCCCCACAAAGCCTCATACAGTCAGGTGGGACTTTTTAGAGGTGGCTGGATCTAGGGTGTGTGATGCTGGGACTGATTTATAGTGCTACGCTAGAATCAAGGGTGTGAGTGCTATCTACCCTCAGGGTGGGTAGCCTGGCTAAGATATGAGGGACAGAAAGAAGGTTGTCACTTGTAACTTGATGTCTTCTGCCTGCCATGAACTGCTTCTCCTCTGCTCTCTGCCAAGCCACTCTGCCTTGGAGTCAGGCAACTATAAACTGAAACCTCTACAAACTCTAAGCTAAATAAACATTTCTTCCTTTAACTTCGGATGTCAGGTGTTTTGTCTCAGCAACAAATATATCTTACCACATTTTTAAAAAAGCATTTATATGGTTATCATAGTCAAAAATTACCTGGTCTATATATTGTATATGTTTGAAATGCCAGGCTGAGATCTGCGTTCTTAAGGATGTTCAGCAGCGTGTCAGGAGTCTCTCTGAGCCACTGCTTCCGGGTGTTATTTTCACTGTACGTTATTACAGAACCACCTAGTTGTGAAAAAGTAACAATTAGTGCTAAATAAGAAAGAGTTTGGGCATCTGTCTTCTGGATTATATTCCAAAGTTAAATATATTTGACTCTCAACTAATATCTGTTTTACTCACTTATATGAGCAGCTCTCTGATGTATAGCATCAAACATCCGTCAGAGTGACATAAAATCTTAACACAGGAGTAACCATTACAAAATATTGTATAAAAAAGAATAGCATTCATTCTGGTTATAGCTGGCTCTCTGTATCCATGGGCTTTATATCATTGGATCAATAATTTTTTAAAAAAATTAAGTCTACTAACGTCATATAGTAGGACAGCTCCTTACACAGTATTTACATTGTATTAGATACTGTATTCTAAGTCATCTAGAAACTATTTAACATATTTAGGAGGAAACCCTTGGGTTATATGCAAATATTATGCCATTTTACATAACCATCTTGAGCATGCATGGATCTGGAACCAGTCACCCTCAGAAACTGCAGGACACTAACCTCTATCATCCTCTGTTGTCAAACTAGAGGTAAGGATGGATGCATTCTCCAAAGCTGAGAGAACTGTACTGGGTTCCTTTCTCTCCCACTGTCGTCTATGAGGACTTGGTGAACTGGCTTTTCTGGGATGGGCTGACTGATTACCTGACTCTAAAATGTGAAAAAAGAATGCCAAAGAGTACTATTTCACCCATTCACCTACATGCAAGTAAGTACTAGAACAATACAGAATATTTCTTTTCCCTTTCAAACTCACATCTAGCAGCAGTACTTTTTGAGCCTAAGGAATAAAGGAAATGAAAATAAAAATCCAGAATGAAATTATCCAAAATGATAAATCAATCTAAAGTGAAACATTAAAGGGACTGAATTTTTTAAAAATGTGCAGCATTACATAGTACACGCTGTGTAAGAATGAAGCCCCAAGAGAACTTACAGACCCAGGGTTTGGTATGCTTTGTATGGTAGAAGCAAGCAAATACTTTTCCTAAAGGCTCTGACTGACAAATACTGTTAGACCTTTTTGGCAGTGCTGGGGTTTGAACCCAGAACCTTATATAACACAGTGTTGAATACATGCTCCACCATGGAGCTACACTCTCAGCCCTAATCTTTTTCTTTTTAAGTGAGGAAATAAACTATACCTGTAATGTTAAACAAATTACTGGATGAACAAATACCTGGCTATACTTGCTAGTGGTACATAAGACCTAGCAATGTGAAAATTGTTACTCCTCTTATATTCCCCAACTTTCCACATAAGCAATGATTACAATCTGATCACTCACCTTTTTTTCCTCCAGCGACTCTCCTCAAAGCATTTTCAGCTGAATTTGTATGAGGGGCTTCAAAATTAGTATGACTGTACTTCCTACCTGGTTTCTCCTGTTGCTTTAAAAAAGATATTCAAGTATTGATTAAATAATACTTGAATTGCTCCAAAAGAGTAAACAAATAAGCAAAGGTAGCTATTCTAATTATAAATAAAAACTAATAAATAAAAAATAAATAGTCATGGAATCCCAAATACATGTACATGAGTAGTCACATACACATCATGTGTACATTAGCCACGTACCTATACCCGTGTATATGTACTACACGAATATTCATATACACTAATAGCCATTGATTATCAATTGTTACACAGATGAAGAAGATGTATAAAGATGACAGATACTTGACAGGTTTGAGGAAAAGAAGAATGAAAAATTTCAATATGATTTGTTGTACTAGGCCTGATGTAGTATCAAAATGAGACACTCTATGAAGGTGCTACCGTTGGCACTCAGTAAACAATACCCTGAATCATGGCAGTTTGGTGGGCTGAACTCTGGACGCCCTCAGCACCTACCATTCTTAAAACACACCAAGTACATAGTTCATACATATATACACATGATTTATAATTGTATAACTGATAACTAGATAATGTATGTTGATTACTACTTTTTTGTGGTTCTGGGGATCAAACCCAGGGCCTTGTACATGCTAGGCAAGTACTCTACAAGTGAGCTACAATCCCAACCCCCTTCTAAATTTAATTTTAAAGCACTTACCACTGTATTTGAGTCACTGCCCAAAGCTGTCCTGATTCTGCTGGGGTCTATGTAAAAAGAGAAAGGAGGAAGAGAAAGCACAGGAAAGTTAACCTTAATAAGTTTCTTACCCGAAAGCTTGAGAGACAGGTGAGGGTTTTAAAGTCAAATAGCCAAAGGATTGGCCTTAATAAGGTTATCAAGTTTTGGGCTTTTTGGGGGGGTTTTTGGTACAGGAATTGAACTCAGGACCTTGTGCTTGCCAGGCAGGCGCTTGTGCTGCTGAGCTATATCCCTGGCTAGGTTACCAAGTTTTAATTGCCTTGTAGTAATATACTTGTTGAAAGATGCTATTTCTGCTGTTTTATCCTAATGTTAAATATGATGTGGAAGAGACACGGCAATTCAGTTCAGCCAACAACTTTAGATCAGAGGTAATATGTTCTGGGCCAAGAATACAGCTCAGTGGCACAAGTGCCTGCCCGGCAAGCGCAAGGTCCTGAGCTCGATTCCCAGTACAAAAAAAAAGAGGTAATATGCTCTGCACATGTGAAGGTCATCATCCCTCCCAGGGCCTGCTAGTCAGTATGTGGAGTCTCTTTTCCTGACCACTGCCATGGCAGAGAGAGCAGGTGTCCTAGCCAGGAAATGAGCTTATTCACTCACAAGAGAAGAGGCGGGAGTAGGGGAAGAACTCTGGCAACCAGACCTTCTGGCAGGAAGGGCTCTTTGCCTCGTTCTCCTCTGGAAGAGCCCTGAAGTTCAGGTGCCTCGCTCACTGAATTATTTTATTTTATTTTATTTATTTTACAGGATCTCACTCTGTAGTTCAGGCTGGCCATGAACTCACTAAGTAGCCCAGGCTGGCCTCAAACTCATGGTGATCCTCCTGCCTTAGCCTCCCAACTGCTAGGCTCGCAGGGGTGCGCCAGCATGCCTGGCCTTCTTCGACATTTTAAAAATGATTACTGAGCATCTCTGACGACAGGTACTATGAGTGCAGAGGTGGACATGTCCCACGCAGTCACTGCCCTGGCATTCTACTTCACTGTTCTGGTCTCACTGTGTACAGACTAAGTGGAGATGCCACCAGCCACGTGGCCACAATAGGGTACCATTTCTCTGACTCCTTTATTCTTCTCTGACTAGAAATTGTAAAACCACACTTTTCCAACCTATCTTGACCCTTTTCTTAGTCTGTTTTGTCATCACCCTTGAATATGACCAAAAGCTACACAGTAGTACCAAAAGTCACATTAATTCCAAAGCAAACTGCTAAAACAAAGGTAACTGCAACCTCTTAAGGCATGGTGAAAAGGCTGAACTTTAAGACAGAAGGGTCCGCCTCTGTGATATTATGATGTATCACAATGCACGTGTTTTGGGTTTTGTCCATAGTTCCTGGCTTATCAGTGCCAGAGCCTCTGTCATTCCTAAAGGACTAGAACAGCAAGTACATCTGTGCTGAAGTATTCAGTCTCCTGTCCTTAGTTCCTGAAGCAGCTTTAGAACGATGGAGGTGAAAGATGGTAAGGCTGCTTTAGGCTTCAACAGCGGAATCTCCCCCTCTGGCCTCCTCCTGCCCACTTTAACCTCTGCTTTTTCTCCCCAAGCTCAGCCACAGAGACTAAATTTCTCTTCCCCAAAGTGGGTCACAGAAACTAGAAACACACTCTAATCCTTCCCCACCTTTCTGTCTTGGCCATAAAGCAACTCTGCCCTTCCTTGTGTTACAGTAGATGATAATATACCCATCTCCCCGAGGGTCCCGTCCCACACAGAGCTGAACAGACAGGCCTGGCTGTGTGGCTGGTTCAGTCCGTTAGTGGTAGGTCATACCCGCCGTGCCCAGTCCCACTTCAACACAGCGGTCCACGCTTCAGTCATGCCTGGGCAACAATGTCTATAGAAAAACGCAACAGCACACGGCTGGACGAGTTCCTGGGCAGCCAAACACTTGGAGGCTCACAGGCGGTGGACAAGAACTCTTGCATGTGCCGGATGTGGCGCACTGCAACTCCGTAGGGGCAGAAGCTTCCACACTCAATGCCCTTCCAGACGTTGCCCTGTTTATTTTTCTATCTTGCTGTTTACCTGCATTCTTTAAAATAGCTTTGTGGGGCTCAGTGGCACATACCTGTAATCTCAGGTACTCAGGGGGCTGAGGCAGGAGGAACTCAAGCTTGAGGCCAGCCTGGGAAACTCAGCAAGACCTTGTCTTCAAATAAAAAATAAAAAGGGGCTGGGCTTTAATCTCAGCACTCTCTCTCTCTCTCTCTTTTTTTTTTTGTACCAGGAATTGAACTCAGGACCTCGCACTTGCCAAGCAAGGCGCTGTACCACTGAGCTATATCCCCGGCTCCCTAGCACTCTTGAAGGAAGCCTCAGGAAAGTTCAAATCAATCTCCAGCAACTCAGTCACTGAGCAAGACTCTGTCTCAAAAATCTTAAAAAGGGATGTGGCTTAGCACAAAGACCTGGGTCTCAATCCCCAGAACCACAGAAAGAGTAAACAAACACGAAATAAATAAATAAATAAACAAACTAAAAAAAAGGGGTGGGGGTACAGCACGGTGGTACAGCACCTTTGGGTTTGATCCTCAGCACTGTAAAAAAAAAAAAAGCAGCCTTTATAATACTGGTAAACCTAAGTGTCTCCCTGAGTTCTATGGGACACTCTAGCAAGTTCATCAAGCCTAAAGGAGGGGCTACAGGAATCCCAATTTTTAGCCAATTGGTGAGAAGTCCCAGAGGCCTAGACTCACTGCTAGTGTCTGATGGGAGGGTGTTCTTGGGCTCTGAGCCTCAACCTGTGGGCCCTGGGAGGTAGAAAGCGTCAGACTGGACCTGGACTGGCGCACAGGCAGGGCAGGGCTCTGCAGAATGACAGCCTGTTTGCTGGTGGGAGAAATCCACACCATGCACTTAGGAAGACAGAAGGGCTCTGAGTTGTGTCAGAATTACAGTCAGAGAAACCAAGGTGGATTTTTCTCAGTAACCTTAGAAACTCCCTTCAAAACAACATTTTAAAAGTTAACTTTCAGCAAACAAAGCAGTTTTTTAAATGTTTCTTCTGCCTGGTGTGGTGGCACACGCCTGTAATCCCAGCACTCGGGAGGCTGAGGCAGGAGGATCATTGCGAGTTCGAGACCAGCCTAGGCTACAAAGTGAGCTCAAGGTCAGCCTGAAACTGCATCGCGAGATGCTGTCTCACAAAGACAGAGAAAAAGATAAAGATCTCTATGGGGGTGGGCAACATGTCCCCCTAGTGGTGAGCTATATTTCTTCACTCTTCTTAGTCTGCTCCTTTCCACCACCTGTTAGCTTTTTTCAGAAGTCATTGATCATAAATGCAAACATTGTTTTGAAAAAATTCAGACATGACAAGCTTCAAGTGGAGAATAAATTAAATTTGATACTTGCTCAGGACAGCCTATTGATACAGGAAAATCTTAGGCAGCTATTCTGTTGATGGTTCCTCTTTTGTTTTTCTTGGTGCTGGAGACTGAACCCAAGGCTTCACACATGCTAGGCCAGCACTCTAGCTCTAAGCTAGTTTTTCTAACTTTTGAAAAGGCTCTGGCCTTTATTTGTTTTTTTTTTTTTTTTTTGACACATTTTATTATTTTAGAGCAGGTATGTTTTTGTTTTGTTTTGTTTTTTGTCTTTTTGAGACAGGGTCACACTGTGCAGTTCAGGCTGGCCCTGAGCTCACTTTGTAGCCCAGGCTGGTCTCAAACTCAAAATGATCCTCCTGCCCCAGCCTCCTGAGTTCTGGGATTACAGATGTGCGCCACCAGGCTGGGCTGTTTCGTTTTGTTTTGTTTTGTTTTGAGACAAGGTCTCTATGTAGTTCAGGGTGGCCTTAAACTCACTCTGAAGCCCAGTTTGGCCTTGAACCCCTAGCCATCCTCCTGCCTCAGCCTTCTGAGTGCTGGGATTACAGGCATGCATCGTCACACCTGGTCCTGGAGCAGTTTTAGGTTCACAGCAAAACTGAGTAAAAAGTACATGTACATACCCTGTCCTCACACATGCATGACCTCCTTCACTACCAACATCCCACACCACTTACAACCGATGAACCTACACTAACACACCACTGCCAGCCAATAAGCCACAGTCTATTGAGAGGCTCTGCTTCAGAAAAGTCTGCTTACAGGACTGTTCTCTTGACACTTGGGGGTGCGTTTTCCTGTAAGACTAGTGTTATGTTTTCGTGGTTAGATTCCTAGGCCCTCTCCACAGAAGCCTTCCTGACCATTAAGCCATAATAAATAAGGTGCTAATTATGGGGCAGACAACAGCCTTTCTCGCACCAAATTATCCAAACTAGCATGTTTTTTCTGATCCCTGGAAAACTATTGTGTAAGAGTCAGTAGAAAACTAGGTCTGATATAATAAAAAAGAAAATTTTGACTTGAGGAATATCTCAGCTAATTACTTTCAACAGTTTAAAATTTATGTCTTTCTTTTCTTTTTTTTAAAACTGTATTTTAAAAAGAACACTTTAAAAACAACCTTTCCAACGTTCTTACCCGTTTTCCTTGGTGTACTACACTTGTGTGTTTTCGTTTCATCTAATACCTGTTCTCCATATTCTGTGATAACCTGAAAGTTAAAATTGAAAATTTAAAGGTGTGAAAGATACTTTCTTTAGGACACTGCCGTAATGTTATTAAACACCAACACTCTTCAGCTGAATAATAAAAATGGCATTGGAAAGTACACATAACTCAGGTGGAGCATCACTCAGGAACTCTGATTACTGTGCTTAAGGCCCTGGGTTTAACCCCCAGCATAAAAAACAATTAAAAGTTTTTAAAAAATAAAAGTTCATATAATTTTTTCTTTTTTAATTATTACTACATAGTCCAGGGTGGCCTCAAACTCATGGCGATCCTTCTGCTTCCCCCTCCGTAGTGCTGGAATTACAGGTGTGAACCACTACACCTGGCCAAAAATACATATAATTTATACAGGGAGGCAAATGTAAATATTTGCATGTGTTAAGAAAAAGACCTGGAAGGATATGCAAACTGTAACTGCTATTATTCCTGGAGAACAGCATGGGCCGGGGGAGATTTTTATTTTTTAACACACTTCTGATTATTTGAATTAGGGCTGGGGATATAGCTCAGCGGCATAAGTGCCTGCCTGGCAAGCGCAAGGTCTGAGTTTGATTCCCGGTACCAAAAGAAAAGAAAAAAAGGCAAGGTCTAATTATGTGAATTTTCACAAGCATGTGTAACCCGTGAGTTGTGCTTAACAGATAACAAACCATTCCCCACCCCCTTGGAAGCTGGTTTCGCACCTCAGGGGGTAAGCACTTCTGGACCAGGGGAGCCAGACAGTGGCTGGAGAGCAGGGTGGTGGCCGAGGGGCGCTGCGAGGGCGTCCTCTTAAACATCTGCCTGACGAGGTCCTGAAGGTGCCAGGAATAACGAGGTGGCAGTGGGTGGATGGACCCTTGACATATTTTGAGGATAAGAGTTTTCCAACTATTTGCCTGAAACTGAAAAGTAAGAGTTGAACTTTAAAAGTAGACACAAGAAAAGGAAATGGAAATTAGGGAATACCATCTGAACTGAATTCATGTTCATATAAATTATTTTAACTTTATAAATAAACCCACTGTCTGGTTATTTTTTTTTTTCTAGAGGTATCCTCAACATACAGTTCTACAAACTAGGTTTGGTGGTACAAGCCTATAACCCCAGAACTCTGGGAAGCTGAAGGATTTCAAGTTCAAGCCCAGCCTGAGCCACTTAGGAATTCAGCAAGGCCCTGACTCAAAATAAAAAAATAAAAAGGGCCAGGGATGTAGCTCTGTGTGAAGGCCCTGGGTTCAATCTCCAGCACTGTGAAAGAAAGAAAGAGCTGGGCGTGGTGATGCACACTCGGGAGGCTGAGGCAGGAGGATTGTTGTGAGTTTGAGACCAGTCTGGGCTACAAAGTGAGCTCAAGGCCAACCTGAACTA